TGCCATTTTGAACAGCAAATCAAACAATGATTACTATTATAAAGTACCGAATCAAAGAACGGTGTCTTCTATTGAAGCACAGGACAGGTATATAACTAACACTCCTCACAATGGCTTAAATGAAGACATTAATCCATCAATTATTGAAGTAACTGGTAGTGAGACTCCGGTTGATATTATATTTCGCACTAATTCACCAAAAGTTCGTGTCCAACAAAAACATCAATCAGGTCTATACATCACTTTATCTAATATTTTATTATTAACAAATCATTTATAATTTGATAAAAATATAGTTTTTTTAAATCACTTTAAAATTAATGAGAAAATATTTAAGTAGTTATTTAATTTGTTATATTTATTATGAAAATTATACCTTATATGAGATTATTTTATTCTGAAAAGTTATTAATATAAATAAATAAACAATTATAGCATAAAAATTACTATCGATAACTAAATATTAAAAATGTGCAATTATTTTTAATTGGATAAATATTTGAAAATACCTAAATATTTATATTTACATTAATATTATATAATATTATATTATATTATACACTATAATACTGTATAGAGTAATGTTAAACATTAGTATACAATAGATTGTGTAATTATAAATTAGAAATGAGTTTTCAAAATCAAAGCATAATATATTTTATTTTCTGTAAATATAAAAAATATTATATTAAATAAATTTCAAATATTATATAAATATATTTCAAAATCAAAGGAATTGCCGAAGAGGTTGAGTCCACACGACTCGATGAGAAGCCATATACTATACGTCATGAGGTATATCGTCCTATAATTCAAGAGTTAAAAGAAGTTATTCAACCCTATCGTCATGTGGTTCAAGAAATCCAACCCGTAATTGAAAATGTGAGACAAATAGTGGCCACAAATATAGGTCAGAGACAGCAACAGCAACAATCAAAATCAATAAGTGATGAATGGCTACAAATGTTTACTCATAAATCAATAGGTGCTCAAAGACAACCCGTTTCTGTTACTCAACCGCTGACACCAACTCATGATTATCAACTAAATAAAGCTTTTGTAGACAACTCAAGAAAAGCAATCAATTATAATACTAAACAAACAACTCATGATATGACTACCAAATCAAGTCATTTAAGTAATTATCAAAATATTGATCTTTTAAATACTGACTTTTCATTAGGAGGTGCCCTATCGGGTGTACAAATAGATGATACAATAAATAAAAAATGGTATAATCAAGTCAATAGTCAAAATTATAATCCACTCCAAATTCATTATAAAATACCCATAAATTTTGATTTAATTGATAATAAAGGGCAATCTATTAGTGATTTAAAAAGTAGCTCAAAGTTATATGACTTTTATATAAATCCAAAAGATTTTGTGTTTGATGACAATAAAACACAAAACTTGTTAAATGAAAAATTGTCACAAAATGACAAAAATGTAAACAATATTAATATTAATGCTTCAAATGTTAGCAAAAATGCAAAGTTATTAATAAAATAAGATTAAGACATAATTTTAGTTTTTTTTATTTTTCATTTTATTTTTATTTATAATTATTCACTCAATTTAGTTACTTCTACCATCATCGCAGTTTTATTACTTAAAAATCATTTAATATTACATTATATATATTTATTTTTATTTTATAATTATAATTTTACAACTATAATAAATTTGTTTGTTATAAATTTTACAAAAATTATATTTTTTACTCTAAAAATTTTAATTGATATCAAAATTTAGATATGAATTCAATGTATAACTTACTTACAGGTTGTTAGTGAATCTACAGTATGTGAGCATTTAATCTGTTATTAAAAGAATAATTAATATAATATTATTGCTTTAAAAATATATTTGTTTAATAATAAATTCATTTTTAAACTTATAACTGAGTTTTGATTTTATTTGATTTTAAAAATTATTGAATAAATAATATCAGTTTAAAATGATTTTAATAACTTTAACAGTTGGTCTAAATATTTTTTTATTGTAATTGTATTTTCTATTGTATTTTATATTATAAGAGTGAAACAAACAATTATATTTTTATAAATTTATTTCAGTATTTAGTTCATTAAAAATTTATAGAATCTATTTTAATAATAATAATAAACTTTATACACATATTGTATTCAACAAATTGTTGATTTGCCATAAAAACATGCTTTAGATTAGAATTAATTTTGTTATAAATAATATTTTAACCGTAGAATTATAGTCGGAAATTATACCAATTATTGTTATACAGTATTATAAAGTTATGAACAAATTATATAAATTTTCAAAAATTTTAATTGAATATTTAAATTAAATATAAATTAATCCGAATTTTATATGACTAATTGTATTATATACTAATATATACTAATTATATGATTTAATTACATTATACATATATATCTTATTGTATAAAACTATTATTTTAATAAAAAATTTGTCACATTTCTCATAATTTAATATAAACTATATATTCTTTCCTTTTCTTTGACTTTTGTTAATTTATTAAAAATAAATAATAATAAATAAAAATAAATTATGTAATAATTGTTTAAATGGATATAACTTTTAGTATATCTATTGACATAAAATCTATATACCTATTAACCTATACAACAATAAAAATAAAATACATTTAAACCTTAAAATATGTGATTATAAAATATAATGTTTAATATTTTATGTATTTTATATATTAATAATTTAGTTTTAAAAAAATCGTTTATTAATTTTTTTAAGTGTTTTGTTTATAAAAAATTATAGCTAAAATAATATTAATTATACTGATCTATTGTATATAAATAAAAATCGTCAAAATATTTGTATATTTTTGACAAAATTGTAGCAAATAAATTGCTTTATTTTATTAGTAAAAAGTATTATTAATATATTTTTAAGTTAGTTTAATGGATAAAAATGTCTTATATTTAAAATTTATACAATAATTTGTTATTTTATTATGAATTAATTAAAATGTTTATTATACCAATACTTGTCTAAACGTATTTTATAATTAATGAGTTGTTGACCTCATTTTTTTCTATTGTTTTATTTGACAACAAAATAAGATATGATTTTATCATATTATACAATCATAAGTATTGTATAATATATATCTTTTATAATTTTCCTAACCTTTACAAATTTTTAGCTAATAATTTGATATACAGTTACATAAATACCGGTAATGCTATTGTATGCTATGTTATATAGAATTACATAGATTTACATTATTTTTTCTAACTTTTTTATAATAAAATATTTTAATATGTTATATTATATACTGTATGTACTTTAATATGGTAAATAAATTAAGATAATATTAATAAATAATTATATAAATAGTTAGTAAATTAATTATTTATATATAACAATTATTCATTTCATTGATAAATGATTGGTCTTTAATGTTATTAATACTTTATATCATTTAATATTTTTAAAAAAATAATTTAGTTATGTATAAGAATCAATATATAACATCATAATATGTAAGTAAAAAAATCTAAATCTTTAAATAATGTCCTCAATTATAAAATAAAAGATATACTTATTTGATAACAAAATTTTGTTAATAAATGATGATTTTAAAATAAAATAAGTTATTAAAAAACTGTATGTTTCTAAAAAAAATTCTTATCAATTAATTTTAAATATCTAACTGTTGTTTGTTTTCACATTTCTTATCTCACATTTGTTATGAAGCAATTAATTTATTTATTAATCAAAGTTTTACGTAAATTTCCAAAAATAGATGTAGTTTTTTCTAAAGTCAAATACATTTCCCAAAAAAGTTTGTTCACAACTTTCACAGTATTCACAAAAAAATTTAGTAATTCACACAATAATTTTGAAACGTCTTATTTAAAGTCATTTTGTTAAATAATATTTAATTGAAAAAAATATTTTAATATTATTGTTTTTAATAAATAAATATACAACTTTATGTCATGAATATGTATTAATGAATTTTAATGTTTTATGATTCATATCTATCATCAATGGCATCATTTTATTGTGTAAGTTTGAAATTCATTATTATTTACTTGAATATAAATTTTTATACATAAATCTCATTAAAGATACAAATATATAATATTATTACTTTTGTTTTCTAAAACATTTAATAATGATTGTTATTATAATTTTTACGATATTATCGCATTTGTTTTCTACTAAACACTACAAAACTTCTTAATAAATGATAATATACTACAAAAAAAGTATGTAATTGTGTTTATGATATGCTTATCCTATTGTTTGGCTGTTAATGCCGAAAGATATAGCGATTACGGCCTCAATAGTGTTGAACTCAAAGATTTACCCGAATATTCATACGGAGTGTTTGGTTCAAGTTATGGAGTAAAAGGTTACACCAATTATGACCCCAATTACGATCCATTTTATAAGTTCAAGTTTGACATCGCTTTAGACCCAATGTATGATCACTTGGATATACAAACACTTTATTGCAACAATTATTTGCAATTTTGTTTCATAAATATAAACAATCGCCGTAACAATCATTGGAAAAAGTCTGGTATTAGATCTAATGAACAAAAATTAATGCAAAACTATCATCAAAATAATAAACAAAATTTCTATCAATTTGGCAAAAATTTATAGTTAAGTAAACATTTATTAATATTTTGCAAAATGAAGAATTTTAATATTTTAATATAAATAAAACAAATAAATTATAAACATTTTTAATAATTCCGAGTATAAGTTATGATATTATTTTATAATAATGTTATATGAAATATATATTATATATAAAAATTATATAAAATATACAATAATATTGTTGAAAATTAAATAATATTTTTGAAAATTAAATAATATTTACTATGAAAGTTGCAAATGAATATTTGAAAAATAAATGCATATTATGAAAATTAAATAATAATTATAAAATAATGTTTTTAGATTAATAGAAATTAATTGTAAATATTTAAAAATTGAATTTTGTTAAGAAATAATGGCTACAATAAACTGTATTTAAATCAACAAAACAATAAACACATTAGAGCTGACTTAAGGAAAACTATTAACACAAATAAGTCATTAAATTAATGACATTTAAAAACTAAAAACAAAACAAAAAACAAATCATTTTTTAATTATTGGGTTTTGTGCGGAACTGTCGACCCTTTAGTGATAGGCCTGTAGGCGGGTATGCTTTTATGTGACACGATTGAGCCCTGAGGTAAGTAGTCCTTAATGCTACTGTATTTTTTGTTGGCACTCTTTCCATAGCTGTCCACCACTTGCTTTTGGTCATACTCTCCACCCCCTGATCCACGTCTTCCCGTTCCCTTATGAACGACAGTCTGAACCTCTTCAACAACCGGTTGCACCTGTTGTATGACTTTACGGAAAGGTTGTATGATTTCGCGCACCTCCTGAATGACTGGTTTGTAAACCTCGTGAACCACTCGGTGGGGCTCATCCTCACTCTTCTGGTGCTCCACTTGTGGCGGATGATCTGATTGTGTCATTTGGACAAACAATAAGTGAAAGTTAATAAATATAAACAATGGGGGGAAGTGTATGTAAATGAGATGTCAGATAATCACCCGGTATTCTCGTTTGTTCTACTTTGACACGATTGGCGTGAGTCCTGAAGTGTATGACAATCGGTTGGTCGTCCTTTACATCTATCACATGATCTTTACCGCCATAACCTTGGGTTTGGATCGGCTTAATCTCAACGTGTCTGTAGGCACTGACTGGTGAGCTATAGGTCTTTTCATATGTAGGTTCATAACTGGTCTGAGGATAACTCTGTCCAAGTGTTAGTCCATATCCTTGTTGTCCATAACTAGGTTTACTGTCATATTTGATGTCTTCATATTTTGACTCATATTTTGGTGTCTCGTATTTCATCTGATAATTAGGTGTTGAATATGAGCCGTAGTCAGCCTTTCTATAAGTCTGATAGCTGTCTGAGTCATAATCATCATGTCTTCGTTGGTGTCCATAACCAGATGGCGAACCATAACCGCTATTTTTATGGTCATCTCGTGCTTTATAACCGTTATTATAATTGTCACTCTCTTTACTATATTTTTTTATGTTATCCAACAGTCCCTTATAGTCGTGATCGATACGCATCTTATAGTAGTCTTCAGCAAAACAATAAGTCACTAACGATACTAATAGTAACTAAAACCAGAAAAAAATAATTTTAACTTTAAGTAGTAGTGAAAAATGTTAAATATTAGATTTATTACTTTATTAAATGAATGTTTATTCTTTAAATGATTGAAAATATTTTACAAAATTACTAAATTATTATTAACTATAATTTGTCTTTTAAGCATTCATTTTATTTAATTAGTTAGTATAAGTAAAATTTAAATTTAATATATATATATATATTATAAAGATTTATTCAAGTATATAATAATTTATAAATTTTTATTATTAACAATTAATTAAAATTATTCATCAATAATCTTATAATCTAATTTAATATAAAATATATTAGGATGTAATATTTTAGAAAACTTATTATTAAATCACAATTGTCATAAATTGTACTATTATATATAGTATCTCATAATAATATATTAGAATTAATTATATATAAAATAATATTATATTAGAATTAATTATATATAAAATAAAATAATATTAATAAAAAGATTTAAATTTGAATACCTTGATAAACATTGTAAAATTATAAATATATCACAATTCTAAACAAAACTATAATAATCAACAAATTTGATTTCAATAAAAATTCACTTTTTATTGTAAAGTTGATATTATATGAATTTGTGTGACAAACAAACTACTAAATTTAATAAATGTAATTTTCAATGATTTACTCACAAAACACAACACTTTAATATTGTTATGTTTATAAAGATAAACAGTTTTGAAAACCAAAAGTTATTAGGTTTTAATGTAATGCAAATTGAAATGTCAAATGAAATGTTATTAAACAGAAAAATTATGGAATAAATTATAAGAGAGTAAAGGAATAAATGATTAACAAATTATTAAAGCGTTTCACTTAAATATCAAAATATATTTTGTAAAACACTTAAACGTTAAGCACTTATTTGTTATTTAATTGTGAAAATTGCAATTCAGATATCAAAAGGAAAGAGAAATTTGCTAGAAGTGAAAGTTTAAAAACTTGATATTAAATGTGGGTTTAATATAATAAATGTGACTCTCATTTATTATTATTATTATTATTATTATTATTATTATTATTATTATTATATACGGTTTTCTATTCTCTATTTTGATTTTAAACTCTTTTATGTTATCTTTGTTTTTCTTTATCATTATATTTTAATTGGTCTTTAGTTTACATTTAATTATGACACATAAAAGAGTGAGATATACAGTATATCATTAATATTGTTAATAATCTGAACACAATTTATTTTTATTATTTAGAAACGGATTCATTTAAAAAAAATGTATGAAAAGTGATACATTTGAATAAAAACACAATTATATTATTTATACATTTATTTATATTATTTATTATTATAACTTATAATTTACAAGAAGTATTATATAATAAAAGTCTAATTACTGTTAATAGAGGGAAAACTGTAGACACCTAACGTCATAAATACTAATTATATTTATAATATTTAAACCAATTGTCAATTTTAAATCTCTTATATAAATTTCTCAAATAAAAATACAGTAAATATTAAAAATATAATTAACTTATAATTTTCCGGTTTAAATATATTTTTCACTTGTCTTTAGGGCTTCACACACTGCTCCCAATTATAAGATATTTATTGTAGAAATTTAATTTAAATAAAATTTATATTTTATTTAAATTTTTAACAAAAGTAAATTACTTTGTTTATAACTCTTAATGTAAACAACTTTTATACTTTAGATAACAAAAATTATGTAAATACTAAAAAATATATTAAGATGCTCATGATTATTTTAAAATATTATTTTTATTAGAAAAACAAATAATAATTTAGAATTTTAAATAAAAATTATATAAATATAAAATTTTAAGTATTAATATTTAACACTGAAAAAATCTTTATTAGCACTAAAGTAGATATTTATTATTTAAATTTTTAATTTAAAAAATAAATTATAAAAATATATAATTAATTATTAATATTAAAAAATTTGCGTTATTTCAACATACAGTAAAATATTTTTAAAAATTATTATATTATTAAAATTTTTTTACTTAATTTTATAAACAATATTTATTTTATTTTTAATAGCTTTGAGGTCTAAATTGAGGGCAATTTCTATGGTTAATAATATATAGTATATTGTTTAAAAAATACATTATTAAGTAATCGATAAACTTTTAAAAATTACTGCTATTGCTATACATATTTTTATAAAACACTTTTTTAGATATAAATCAAAAGTGATTTAACCGATTAAACTTTTAAATAATTTATGTAATCTTACAAAACAATGTTTAAATGATATTTAATATTTTTATTTAAGGGATTATTTTTCAAAATCATTGCTAATTATATGCATAATTATTGACAAATTATTTTTTTTGTAAATTACTAAAGTTATTAAATTTATGTATTTTATCTTTTTTATGAAAAAATTACTTATGTATTATATTAGATAGTTTTATTTTAAAAAGTAAAACAATTTTTTAAAATAAATAATAACAATAACAAAACTAATATTGTTAAGATATATCCTTGTAAAAGATAATTTCAAAATGTTTAAATTAATTAGGACATAACTAAACTAATATTTTTAATTTATTAAAACTAAATTAGTTGCTATTATATTATTGATTAATTACTAAAAAATATTTTATTTTTAATAAATTAACCAATAATTATTTCAATATATTTTTTAGTATTTTGACATTTGTATATAAAGTACAATGTATATCAACATGTATTATATAATATGAAAATGATAGGTCAAAGCAATCAAAAATCAAAATTAATTTTTTTTTTAATTTTTATTTTTTAATAAAACTATTGATATATTAGAGAGGATTTGTAATAAATATTATAACAACACTTATTATGTTTTTCATAAGATCTCTTTAAAACACATAATACTATTATTTTAAAGCTTTTTTAAGAATCGTATTTCAAAAATTTCTAGCAACCACTTCAACCTACGCGAACTTTCGATCGAATGGTTGTGAGTTCGATTCTCGCCCCGGAGGGAGTATTTATTGCGCGATAATAAACTTTATTTGTAATACAAACGAGTACAGAGTTGAAGTGTGAAAAACACTGAATAGCAAGTCTTTAAATATCTTATTATTATTATTATTATTATTATAAAACAAAATTAGCATTAATACAATTAATGAAATTAATAAAATATATAATACGCAAGATGCAAAATATAAACATGATAAATTAATAAAAACTTATAATTATCTTATACTTTATAATAATACTAAAAATAATTTAGAAAAAGTGTCTAAAAGTAAACCTATTTAAAAATTGTTATAAATATTTATTTAGTTATTTATTACTTTGTAAATTTTAACTTTAGTTATTATTTGCTATAATATGTATAATTAAATGTATTTTACAGAATACACACAATTTGTAATATAGGTATTATAGTAAATTTTAAAAAGTTATTAGCGGACAATTTTTAAAAATTATGGTTTTATTTTAAAATATAAAAATAATTAATAGATACTATTTCATAGATAATACATACAGACAACACATTTTCACAACTATTAATGTCATAATTATTTATATTGTTTAGAAATACTGTAATTATAAATTATTTACTAATTTTATAACTATAGAATTTATACATTATTTTTTAGATATCGTTTGCAACATAATAATAATAAACTAAAAATAATTAGAGATAGTTATATTTTATTATTAATATTATATATTACAATAATTAAAAAACATAGAAATTACTGTATTTATAACTACTAATAACAAGATTACAAATTTAATGTGAAAAAACAACAAATTGTTTTTTATAACTAACATAAACAGTTGGTTAAGATATATAAGATTACAGTTAATTGTATTTTGTTGGATAACATTTGTTTATATCAAAGAGTAATACAGGACATAAAAACAAAATTATGATATTATTATTATGTATAATGACTTACATAATGACACATATTTCTCAAACGATAAGACAATTAATAATAATTTGAATGCTATTACTGTAAATGGCAAACACAAAGAGCCAAACAATATAAAAGTTATTAATAGTAAATTTGTTTCACACTTTTGACAATCTTTTGATAGCATCCATACCGTACGGGTCATCACTCATATCATAGTAGTGTTGATCCCTAAAAAAGTTCAATAGAGCTGAGGCCGGAATCACCGGCTGATGAAATAATTTGGACTCTTCCTGTTTGACAGCCATCTGTTCCGCTGTTGACATAATATGTGGCATCAATTGTGACAAATATTGATCACCAAAGGTGTCCATTGGATTCAAAGGATAAGTTTCGTCCGATTCAATCATATGTGGACTCATATATTGAGAGAAAATCATTTTTCTAGGTTTAGGTTGATATGGCTTTCGGTTGGATTTGACTTTAGTTTTGCGCAATTTTTTCGGTGGTGTCTTCTTCTCCGGTTTCAAAACATTATTTTCATTTATGTATTCTTCATAATTATTATTATTATTATTATTAAGATTATTAGTTGCTTTAAGTTCGGTATCGGGCGGTACTTGAAAGCCAAACAAGTCATCTGGACTTTTGACCGGAAATTTCTTTAAATCATCATTTAGTCTATAACTGGATATGTCATCCAAACCATAATCAGCACAAACTATTTTTATCGATGCAATCACGATAAACAACTGTATAAAACAATATACATATAAAACAAAACAATTTGAATAAAATAAATAATAATTTTTAAATAAAAAAGGTTATCTCATAATATTAATGATCTAATGAATAAACAAAATAAAACAAAACATACATTCATTAATTTAGTTAACATTATGTTTCAGTTGGTATCTGTTTTGCAATCTTTTGGTAGTTATCAGTCTCACTGTCTCTTTCCGTATAAAATCAATTAAATAAATTTATATTTAATTGTAATGCATTGGTACTCTATTTGCACAGTTGACTAACTTTAATAAAACATTATATTTTATATAAT